ATTTATTAGTAAGTTACGGACGATATTCTCGTATCATTCAACTAATAGAAAATCTTAGATCGGCGGTCTACTGTGACAGCGTCTTCTGCTATTACATTAGGGGTTTGTCCGTATGTTTTGTACTCCCCAGGGACTCGATCAAAAAAGAATTCGCTGAGAAAACTCCTATTTCATTTGTAGACTTAAGATATGGTGATATTTTTATAATCTATTTTCTTCTATGGTCATTTCATGTCTCTAAAGGTGTCATTACAACATAGAAATAAAACTGAACTGCTCTCCGGTGCGCCGTAACCTCATAAAACGTCGCCATTTTTCGTGTGTTATGTTTACCATTTTCCCATTTTGAATGCTCGAGAAACTGCCAATAATTAACCAAATGCCTTTAAATTTTTACAAAAACTACAAAATTGATTGTGAAATTGAATTAGGATAATTTTAATCCAAATCTTATGTATTGTAAACTTTTATTTTGAATTCAAACTTGTAGATTCTTTAATAAAACCTTGGTTTTTTGACCGTGCGCCATAGAACAAAACCCCATGCACATTCAAGCATAATAAAATCTTTATTTTTTCCAATATTTTATCAAAAAAATTATCAAGCACTTAAATATGATAAATAAACATTTACTGAAATTTTCAGCTTAGTGCCCCCATTACTTATCGAGAAAAACGCTTTGTCCACGATTTTACTGGACAACCCTCGTATAGATTATTTTTTATCATTTCTTTGGTGTACATGTTAATTTTTTTATTGGTCTATTCTTATATAAGAAAAATACTGCTTATAATTGCTTATAATTGGTAGCAATCATTTATAGTTTCAAATCAGTAAATAGGAAATAGTTATAATATTGAAAAAAAAAACCACACACTCTATTTTTAGAGTTTTTCGACAGCCATTATCATTTCGTGAATCTTTTAAATGAGTTTTTTAAAAGCTGACATACAATTATTCTTAAAAAAAGATCTAGAAGTTTTTCCAAAGTTATTTCTTATACTTTGATCAATCCCTTAAAACAAAGAATGAAAACGCCTGTACAGAATTATTTCATTTTTTCCCCAAAACCCCATTGATTTGAAATTGTTTGAATTCGTTGTATTTTTTCATTGAATCAATCTGCTAATGTTGATAAAAAAAAGAAAACTAGGACGCCTGGAAGCATTTACAAACTGAATGAAAATTTCTGTTTGAAAAAGAAAAGTGGTACTTCTATTCATCTTGAATGAATTTCGATAATCTAGGATACAAGTACTATGATAAAATAAAGGAAAAGTAACAAAAAATGAGGTTGATGAAAAGAGTATGCTTTTTTAATAGATATACTTAAATATTATGATGAAGAAAATATCTGCATAAGCCTAACATTATTTTGTGTTAGGTCACTATGGTATATTCACATCTACTGACTATTTCTCCTTTATTTCTTATGAAGACCATTATCATTAATCAGTGCATAACCAACACTTAGCAGCCACATGTATAGATTTCTTGAAAAATGTTTGTTCCATCAGTTATGCATACAGTGACGGATTCATCTATAATACAATATTTAATTTTACTTTGGATGTTTATTTATACAGAAGTAAAAATAAACAATTAAATGTCTTTCTTTGTTTGTTAGTACGGAAATTAACGCCAAAGCTTTTGCAAGAAAAAAATACAAAACTTCCTTACAAGGATTATGATTTGATTTTTGCATCAACTGCGGCAATAATTCCAGTACTAATAACCAAAGAAAGCATATTATCATTTAAACAACTTAAACAATATTGAATGGAATTTCAATGTGTTGAACAGATTATAAGACATCATTTTGTTAAAAAGATTGACTTTGTTATATTAAATAAGTCATTTTGATGTAAAAAAAAAAAAAAAAAAAAAAAAAAAAAAATTTTAAAACATTAACAACCAGTAAAAATTTGCTCATTTTATTTTAATGTTGCAAATGAAAGATGAGATAATTCAATGTTTACATTCTTTAATAAAGCTTATTTATCGCATATTTTCATATAGCAGTCAGTAATATTATTACTATCTCTTAAAGATAGAAAGTAAAAAACAAAAGGAATGTACCATAAAAAATAAGAAACAAATTGAAATGAGGTATATGAGGCATTTCTTGAGACAGTATAGTAAAGCATATATTGAGAAGAAATTTTCATTATAATTATTGTCATATAGTTTAAATTATCGATATGACCCTTCATTACATAAAGCGTGTATTCTGGAGCACAAAAGACACATATTTCTGTATTTGGATCCAAGCGGTGATGAAATATTCACCTGATCAAAAGATGCTGTCATAATTAATATCAAACTTTTGGGCTGGTTTTTTTGTTACTATATATATCAGGACCATTGTTTGATGGATAAAAAAAAAATCATTTTTGATTTCTTTAAATGAATTTTTTTCACAAAACTTAATTGCCATTCTTTCTCAAAAAAATGTACAACCTTATCAAAACTCTCATATTAAAACTCAACAATGTATTTTTGTTTGGAACGATTTCAGAATTTTACATTTATGCATAACTTAAAAGGAATAAGAAATAGAATGACTTGTTTACGAAATTTATCACCAAGTTTAAGGCATGAATTGTTTTGTCGTCACATTTTTCAGGAATTGAACTTTTTTAAATTAAAGAATACCTACATATAACACAAAACATGTTTCGATTTAAAAATCTCATGGACACTATCCTTGCCCGAGTATTTGCCGTCTAATTACAGCAGTCGTATTTAACCTTATGTTTGAGGTGGTATATTTTGCAATTAAAATTGTAAATGAAACTTTACATGCCATAATATATTTAGAGAAAGTTAAGAAAAATGAGATGTTTTAGGTTTTTCCACCCTCACAGTTTTACATATAATGGATCAACGTACAAAAAATGCAATTATTTTTATTGCATACACTTTAAATTTTCCAATTATTGCAAAAAATTAAAGGTCGCCATATCAATTACGATGGGGGACATAAATGAACCGAACTATTTGTCAACATTAAAAAAGATCCTACATTTTTTTGGTAACTGTGCTATAATAATTATGTAAAACTGGTTCAAATGCATAATTCTGATATTGAAAGTTCCAAAATACTTGCTACTTATAAGATACATGTACGTTAGAATTGTGAAAATCAGGGAAACTATTTAACATTAGAGGTACAATTTAGAAAACGTGTGAAAGAAGATAACCAGGAAAGAGATATTTCCTTGTCCACATTTTTTAAAGATTGATTAATGAAGTGACTTACTAGAGATGACTTTTTAAAATTCTTTTATTTAACAAAATTTATCATTACGCCTATTGAAAAGCATTAATCTAAAAAATATTTTTTTTATTTGGTATGAATTTAAATCAATAACTGTTTTTGTCCTCATAAGAGGATGGAAAGACCATTAATTTATCATGTGTACTAGGAACACGTACTTTTGTTTATTATGTGCGCTAATAATAGCGACAGTAGCTATTGGTCAGTATTTAAAGGTCGATACCTGTAGAACGGGTGAACAGGTATTCAGTTTAATCACGATTTTAACTCATTCGAAGGCTTTGCTTTGCGACATTCACACCCACCCACCCTCTTACTTACTTCAACCTTTTACTAGTATTTTGTTAAATAAAGAAAGTAATTGTTTTCATGACAAGAAAATTAAAAGTTTTGTACACAACAGATTAATTGTCAAAGACAGGAAACAATTTGCTTAGTCGCTCTAGATAATTTAATGTAAAATTTGATATAAATGTGAGATTGTTGTGTAAGGGTACATATTAGCTACATATAGTCGAAATGTGTTTACAGATAGTTCTAACTTACATTCATTTTGCATAGGTTTTACTTAAACAAGTCGATTAATTGTACATTATAATATATGATACGTTCGTAAGTTTGTGAGAATGAGTCCGCCATTCATTTTGTTTACCTCGCAATTGCTGCGGACTTACAGGTTTCCATAGTTTTTTCAACATAAATCGATGTTGTTTTTTATCTATGGTTTTTCCTGGGCGGCGAGGGAAGCATAATTGTGTTCATACATACATTATATTACGTTTTTAATCAGTGAAGTGAGGACATATAAAAGCATTGTGTTAAAATGCATTTTGTTCTGTTATGTGTGATTAATAATAATTTTGATATATTGTAGAAGGAAGTTAGAGAATCGGTACCATTGAAGACTTGTTTTTGTAAATGTATACGTCTAATAAATATTGGCAAGCAAGCGCTTCCATTTCCTATATAGACAAGTGTTCTTGTTTTGTTTGTAAATAATTTATGTTCGTTTGAGTGAAACGAATTAGAACATAATTAATATTGTAGTTATTTAAAATGTAATAGACCAAGAGGTATATGTTAAGTCCTCAATCCTCAACACTTTAGACTAAAAGGTATGTGCTAGTCCTCAATCCTCAACACTAAAAGACCAAGAGGTATGTGTTATTCCTTAACCCTCAACACTATATTAATTAGAAATATAATAATATAATTATTCAGGTTTTTTTCTTGAAAAAAAATAATTTTTTCATCAGTTATTTTTATTATTGCAATGAATAGATAAACACAGGAAATTGTCACCAGAATCTAAAGTTCCATTATTTTCTACATCGCGTCGAACAAAATCTAATTGAACACCTTGTTCAGAAACAAATTGTTTATAAAAATGATTCTTTCCAGCTTAACGGCCCCTGACGCTTCACACCTAGCTTATATGTGTTGTTGGGAGTTAAAAGTATCTATTATTAGTTTTTTTTGTAATTAAATACTGTAGATTGGCAAATATTCACGACGGTTTTAATTTCACTATGTTCGCGATTTATCATTTCTTGGCGAAATTAAACCCATCGTGAATGCTATTATTAGTTTTTAAAGATGTTTATATGCTTTTAAGAAACTTAAAATTAATTTCTTGCAGCGTGAATTTAAAACAATCGCGATTGATACATTTCTGAAAATCGTGAAATTTTAACACCGTGGAATTAAAACGATTTACAGTATTGAACTAGATATCCGACGGATTTCCTCGAGTTACATTCTATGTAGGTTATATTTACTATTTTAATCAAGTTTGCAAACACGTTATGCTCAATTTTACGTATCATTATTGGGGAAAGGATTTCTTTCAAACGTACGTACATGTACCCGTGAGTCAAATCCCCTACTATCCTGACGAAGTCTTTTATTATCGGAATACGAACCTTTAAGAGGGCTACTTCTACGTATAACGTTATAGGTCTTCAATGCAGGTTTTCGTTTTCCGAGATTGAATTTTGTGCTCTCTTTCTCCAGGTTACCAACAATCACTTGCTGCAAAATTAATTTGTCTTCCGAAGTAAGAATGTTGCGTCTGCAAACGTTTTTAACAAACATATCTAGATCCATGAACTGGAAACGGACTTGATACAAGGCGTCTCCTATCTGATTTCTGATATTTTCATCCGACTTCTCATAACCTTTGACCTCACACTGACCTTCACCCCAACTTATCAGAAAATGGTACACTTTCAACTCCTCAATATCTAGGTTGTCTGAGGATAAAATTTCCATTAAGGTGTCCTTACCTATCTGTAAGGAAATCGGTAATTGTAAAATGATTGAGCACTTTTCATTTATAAATTCTATACATTTTTTAGTCAGACGTTCTAAGTGAAATAACTTGGCATTTTCCAAAAATGTACAAACAGTCTCCGTTGTTATATTCTGTTTTAAGTATGATATTGTCGCTTTTTTCAACGCCTCAATATCGTATTTCTCAGCAGCGTAGAGCGCCCCGATGACAGTTTCTTTATTTACCTCAACTTCTCCACAATACACAAATCTGCAATTTAATGGGAAAGGAATGTGTGCATAAATACATATGTGCATTTTGATTTTAATAAAACAAATTGAAAATTTCAAATACATTTTGCAGTAATCATTTAACGGCGAATTTTAATCATCTTTGGCTTAAAGGAATCAATTTTGTTTTGGGTTGAGCTCATATGGGAAAGATAATTGCATAAACTTTCAATCACAAAAGTCAAACATTTATTAGTGTAAGAGATAAAAGTCGATATAATTTTATTTCTAAATGCATTATGGTCCTGGTAATCTGGTTACATGCATCCATGACTTAAAACCTACTATATTATAGGAGATAGATTTAATAAATTGAAGAAAAATCTTTTCCTAGCTACTAAACGAAATTTAGGTCAGTGCAAGGTTAAACAAGATAAATGTGTTAAAAACGAACGATATTGCTATAAAAAGGACAGTTGACGACGAAAAGCTTATCAAAAGACATTTGCCATACAATTTATCATTCAAAATCCATTCTGATAATGATTTTACTAAGTTTAATTCTGCGTAGTAGTGGCCTGACAGAAAAGGAGAAAGGTTGTTTAAATATCATTAAAATCAATAAGACGCACCACAAAAAAGGACAAATAAAAACCATTCTTATCTACCTGAGAAGAACATCAAACGAAGGTGGTTCAATGTCAGGAATTTCAATTTCGTTAGCTTCTGCCAGACCACCATACAACATGGCGTCAAACACGGGACTTCTGCTCGCAAGAACATATTTATGAGCGCGAACAAGCTTTTCGTCTTTTCCTATTCTAAATGAGAGATCACAATGGATCTCGTTTTTAAGCATGTATCTGTTACAATCAGCAACACTGAGACCGGAACGCCAGTTTTTCGAAGTCTTGACTTCTGTCATCTGCAAATAGCACAATAAATGATAATTTATTTTCAAATTTCAATTTAACCTTTTTTTGACATTTTTAAAACCATAAGGACATTTCGCTATAAATTTAAAACCATTCTTATCATAAAATAAAATTTATCTAGACAAAATATAAGATTTACAAACATGTGTCCCCACACTACTATATATTTCTTATGTATAATTTCAAGATTCAATAATGCTCTTCATATATAATATAAATGATTTAGAAATATTAAAATTATCTTTTAGCATTCCTTAGCATTATATTGTATTTGATAATGACTTGACTGACATATTTCAAACAATTTTATTGCATGATTGTGTTAGTGGTTTTTTTTTTTTTACGATGACGGGTTCAACACAGAGGGACATGGAAAAGCTTTCTTCACCAGTTTTAACCTTCGTGTGTTCATGGTATGTAAATATTTCAGGATCAAGAGTGATATTACTATTTAAAAATGATTTTACAACAAAAGGATATTGCTCAATTATTTTTTATGCCCCCTTAAACGAAGTTTTAGGAGTACATAGTTTTTGTCGTGTCTGTCTGTCTGTCTCTCTGTCTAGCTGTCTGTCTGTCTGTCTGTATCTCTGTTTGTCCACAAAAACTTTGACCTTGTCCATAACTTTTGATTGACTGGAGCTGTGAATTTTCATATTTCACATGTGTATTCCTTGAGACATGAACTTTCTTAGGGTACATTAACCAGAAACATTAACCCTGGCAATAATTTTTGAAGAGTAAATGCCAGGGCTTTCATACTTCACATATGTAATTCTTGTGACAAGACCTTTCATTCAATACCAATAACTTTGACCTTCTGACCTTGATTTTGGAGTCTTACGCACAATAATTTTTTTTTAAACTTGGCAAAAAATTTTGAATGGTTAGGGCTAGGGCTTCCATACTTCAAATATGTGATCTTTGTGGTAATACCATTCATTGGATACCAATTACCTTGACCTTATGACCTTGATCTTGAAGATTTATGTACTTATGAAAAAACTTTTGCTTGGCCATAACTTGGGAACAGATAGGGCTTACAATATAATTGTATTTCTAGTTTGGAGACCCTACTTTGGTACCAATATATTAACTTTGCATTTAAGAAAGCTTAATCTTCACTATGTTGCCATTTGGGGGGCATCAGTGTTTCACAAACACATCTTGTTCAATTAATTCATTCATGTAATTATTCTAATGAATATACTAGCATTCAAAGAATATTTTTATTACTATGTAAAGTTTTCGATCTATATGAAAACATTTTTTTCATATTTCAATAAGACATAATAATTGTCATTTTCATATATCCCTAATGGTTTCCTTAGTTAATACATTGAATTAAAAACGAAACGAAAGTAAAAAAACAAGTAATAAATAAATAAATGGAAAAAGTATTTACCAATACAAAAAGTAATATCAATAGCATGCATATTTTTAAAAAAATCTTATGATACGTAACAGGAAGTAGGTTGTGCTTGCGTCTTAAAAAAATCATTTATAAACTTTTAATGAATTAAATTAAACTTGCAATTGAAAATATTACAAAGAAATTGGGATAGATCATTTTCTATTTTCTCAACAAGTTGATATATCTCAATTGTGACGTCAATATTAAATAATCACTCTCATATAAATACACAAAAAGTTATGTTTAAAACGCTTACCTTTCGTCCTTTGGCAAACAAATGCATGTAAACTACGGTTAAACATCCGGGTTATATAAGGTTAGTTTTTTTTTTCGAGAGTTGCCAATCTTTTAATTCAGCATGTTCATAAATTTATACATTTATTTATTGAATCATGAATATAACATCTCTCATGCTTATAAAAATAACAAATGGGATGACTTATTATTATTTTTTCTTTATTTAATTTAATTGATTTATTTGATAAATTTAAATATCACTTTACAAGTGCTAACTTTCAGATATTGATTAAAAAAAATCTGAATTGCGTTTTCTGAGTTTGAATTTTGTATTTGTGGTTCATGTTATTTTTACATAGACGAAAATTATAATGTATACACTCTTGATAATAATTAATAATAAATCATGTTCATGCATTTTAGTATCCGAAAATAAAATAAATTTCTTTATTTACATATATATGTTTTTTGAATTTCTTTACTAAAAAATTTCAAAATTGAACTCAATTATATACAACACGTTTGCATTCACAAAAAATACTTACATTTACAGACATAAGAGATCAGTATTTCAAACATAATCTTTGATATGTATATATAGGAAATGATTTTTGAAATTCCGACACCCCCCCAACACACACATATCAGATAAGATCTTCGAGTTAAAGATAAAAATGATTTTTTTTGTCTGGAAGCCCCCTTCCCGCCCACACTACTATTATTGTAAGCTAACAGGCAAAAGGATTACTTACTATAATAAATTTTTAATGTATAACTGCAATACAAATAAAAAAGCAAAACACACACAATGAGCATAAAAAAATTGTATTTACATTGCACAGAATATAATATTTTTGATCAATTAATGAATGCAAGTTTAAAAATTGAAATGAATGCATGGATGGCTGCATAAATTAAATACATGTAATTACAAGATATGATAAATCATTAAAATAAATACAGAATTGATGCCTAAATTACAATTTGATGTAAATAAAAAAGTTAATTATAGAATCTGTGGCTGATTGATGAATTCATAATATGCCAATACACAGTAATGGTTAAAATGGACATTTTAAAATGTAAATTTCACATAATTACGGATTTTCATATGAAATTATGTTTTATTATGATCTTAGTGTTTTTAAACAGATCTTGATCATATAATGTTTAAAAGGGATCTTTTCAACGAATTTTCAGCACTCTCTTAACATTTTTAAATTCAATATTTTAAAAACAAAAAAGAGAGACAACCCTGATCAGCTTCTGACAAACAAGTTCATGAAACAAGGAAATGGCCAAAGTCGTTAATAGTCTTTACTTATATTTCGCTATTCTATGATCGATACAATTACTTGTGCTAAATAAGGAAAATATCTGATGTATCATTTAGTCGAAACTGACAGGCGTTTTTTTTTTTTTTTTTTTTTTTTTTTACAATTATTGGGTCTTTAGTACAAAATTAAATTTCAACAGTTTTTCTCGTTTGCCACATCATGTTGAGGGTAAGGCGCCGGTGTGAACGGTCAACAGGGGATTTCTACTCTCTAATGGCAAGACATCCCTTCTCTGAATGTTCTAGAGGTCCGTGTTTGATGTTTAACTTCATGAATAATGTTTTCTGTCATTTAATTAGTTAAGATTTTTACTTATATCGGGGTATTTGAAATAAGTTGCAATATAAAGATTATTTTATTATTTCTTTGGTGTACATGTAAATTTCTTCATTGGTCTATTCTTAATAATAAAAAAAAACTGCTTATTACTGGTAGCAATCATTTATAGTTTCAAATCAGTAAATCGGAAATAGTAATAATATTGAAAAAAATGTCCACGTCATTTTTAGAGTTTAAGACGGCCATTAAAATTTCGTAAAACTTTTAAATTAAGGAATAAGTATCTTCTA